GCAAGACGCCACCGGCCCGGGGCCAGCGGGCCACCAGCGTCCTCCCCCGCCCCACCTCCACCCACTCCCTAGGAGAGGGTCTGGGGGTCCGCCCGAGGGCAGGTACAGTGCAGGAGACAGAGATGGAGGGATGCTTGGAGTTCCGGACGTGGGCAGGACGAGTCCGGCCTGGAGCCATTTGGGCCGCGGCTTTCTTCCCCGTCATCCAAACCCACCGTACGGAGCGGATTAGGTCTAGGGTACGACAGTCCCATGCAGGAGGCAGGGGACGCCAGGTCCTCGGAACTCCGAGGGGCACCCCCCGCCCCCTCCCATCGTTTTGTTCGCCGCGCTGTGAGTGGGCCAGCGTATTTATAATGTAAATGGTGGTTGGCTTTCCTTGTAGGGAACAAAGATGACGACTTCTTTTACTTTCATTTTTTTTAACACCGGCAGTAAACAATGCCAAGTAATTCACCAGGTTGAATACTGGACAGATTTAATATTCCCAACTCGGGACAGGCTTCCAGTCCCTCTGGGCTCCGTGTGTGAAGACAGCCGAGGGCAGATGCCAGTAGAAAACCGGTAACTTTGTAAGTCACCGAAGAAAATGGCAGTTTCACCTTTTGAAACTTGTCTTTGTTACACCATTTTCTTGCACAGGCGTCCGATTTCTGGTCATTCCAGATATGCAAGCATGTTTATTTCCGTATAAACCACACACCGAATGAATAAAAAAATATGGCCGAACTCGCTGGTCTTTTATTTATGCCAACAAGCGTCGCCCTCCCCTCGCCGAGTTACTTTAGGTGACTTGCAGTGGGTGAGTGTGGTGTAGATACGAGGCCCGGAGGCTGATAACGCCTCGTGGTGGAGGCGGGGGAGTGTCTGGGACCGACGCGTCTGATTGGGACGGAAGGCCGCACTTGGACGAGGGTCTGTGTGCCCTGCGGCTCTGTTTGCGAGCAAACGTCCGGTTTCGTCCTCCCCGTGCAGCGAGGTTCCACTGGACCTTGCCCATGGGTCGCCATCTGAGCAGCTGTTTGAATCAGAAACAGGGCCATCGTTAGGAGCGCGCATACTTTGTATCGGAGTAGCAGAAACTGGCATCATGCACGGGTCAAAATAACCTTGCGAGTTTGTACTGGAAACAAACGGCCTAGCCCGGAGGTGACGAGGAGAAACCTGGTGCCGCTGCGCCCTTGGCCCCGGCTCGGCCCAGTGCTCACCGAGCGGTCAAGCCTGGGCCTCCCGGGAGTCCTGGGGCGAAGGCCCGCGCTTACGCAACCCTGGCCCCGTGTTGCCCATTCATAGAAACGCCGTTAATTAAGTTTTCCTGGTGCGTCCCGGCGAGCCCCTTCCGGACGCACTCCCGGCTGGCGGGGGCGCGGGGCTGCGTTTCGGGTGTGGGATGTCGCCGGGCACACTAAGTTCTCAGCTGCCCCGAAGGCTGAGCACGCAGGCCTCGGCCTTCCGAAGAG